TTTGGTATCTAGAGATTCAATTCTCTAGTGAGGTATTGATCTATTATTTTGAAGTATTTTTATGTCATTATTGAGTGTTTTACATGCATGGAAGAGAATGACTTGCATTTTGCCCTTAAACTATTTTAACTTGAAAATAATCTTGTCAAATTAAATATAAAATATGAAAAATATACTCAATTAGCTTTCATTTAGTTTTAGTTTCATGTAATTTGGATTTAAAATGAATTAGTTATGAATTTTTGAAGTTGCAAGCTAGTTGTTGGAAATTTGAAGCTTTTCTTTTTTGATCCGGAAATGAATTTTTATATCGAGCTGTAGTGCTTCAATTGCCTTGAAATTTTTACTGGAACTTCCCCCATGGGTTTTACACTACTCAGAATTTGTTCATGATTTTAGAGCATTTCAAAATTTTTTTAAAAATCCGAAACTATCTGCTGTCTAAGTTTTTATTGCAGCTGGAAAACATATTTTTAGATGATTTATTTCACTAACCTTTTGACATTGGATCATGGCTTAAATTTTCAGTTTTACACTCTCATATGTTTACTTCCAAAATAAATTAGGTTTGCCCAATTTGGATGTTTAATGAATTTTTCATGAATTTTCAAATTTGGAAGCTACAATCTGAAAATGTATTTTCTGGGCAGAATTTGTTTCAAAGTTGTGGGTCAAAACTATTTTAATTGGAAAAATATTTTGTTAAACTAAATTGATATTATCAAATTACAGTGTTTAAGCTTTCATTGGGCTTTGGATTCATTCAATTTGGGTTAGAATTGAATTTTTTATGAATTTTACAAGTTGAAGGTAGCAAGCTGAAAAATCTGTTTTGTGGACCGAAAATTTGGGGCGATTTCATTTTGGTGGTAATTGGGATTTTCATTCCAATTGAGGTAGGGTATGTTTTAGGATTATTTGTGTGTTGTATTGTGTGTTTACCATGATTATACAATATATATGTATGCCTTGTATCAAATCTAGAAAGTTAGTAATTTTTATTTCTTTGTATAAGATTTAAAATTTATGATTATGTATAACTTTGATTTAAATTGTAACATGCTAGGAAATTATACTTAGATATGTTGGTTAACATATATTAAATTTGGATCATTTGATTAAGAATTACAACTTTTATTTAATATTTATCTTTAGTGAAAGTTTAATTCACATGGTTGTATCAAGCATTAAATCAAGTTGTAATGTGGTATTTAAATAGGTCTTGGCATGTTCTCTAACATAGATTAAATTGAGGGCATTTGGAATTGTTTAAAAATCTAAAAGAAATTAATTAATTAGGATTAATTTTGTTTTAAGTGTTTTAATCACTTAACTTGTCATTTGATGTTATATATATGATGACCATGACATGTCTTTTAATATATATTAAATTGAGGTTATTTGGATTTACTTGGAATTTAGAGAATTTAACTATTTATGTTTAATTAAATTCTACTTTATTACTCCATGGATTTAATTGCATTTTGGAAGTTGTTTCTATATTTAAATCATGGATTTGGATTTGATGTATGTTCACTTGATTACTTTTGAGCATTGGATAACATAGTTTTTACTTTTATATTTATGAGAATATGTTTTTCCTTATTGAATATATTGTTGCTATGTGTAAGGAATTGCACACTTTGTATTTGACATCTTACATGCCATAGTAGTTGTGAATTTTGAGCATGTTTTGTATAAGTTTCCAAAATTTGGATTGTGCTTGGTAAATAGTTGATATCTTGTATATACATGTTGATATATATACGTTGTTGCACAATTTGTTGATTTTGGAAACTTGGGGATGTCGTTGTTTGGCTACGGCTAAGACTTGGTTCTAGTACAGGGGATTGTCCCTCTATATAGTCTAGTGCGCACATAGGGAGGTTACCCATGGGCTAGTAACCCTAAAACAACTATGTTGTCGGTCTGATTCGGCGTGACGTCCGAGTATCCACTTTGTTTGATTTCGTATTTTATTTCAAGTTGATAACTAAATGATATCGTAACTTGTTGTTCCTTATTTGATTTCCTATTTTGAGCTTAAGATGTAGCTTTGTGAAAGCATGCTTCATGCATTGTATTGGAAGTTCCATTGTTGGTTAAATTGCATCGATATCATAATTTGTGTTTTGATGTTCAAATGTAGTTTAGGAATGACCTTATAGATTCATTTTGAACATAGACGTTAGGTGGCATAACCCACACTTGTTGTTTTCGTATTTTGGATTTAAAGTTGAAGACTTTGAGAATCTATATCTTGTTGCCTTGTATAACATGTTTTCATGTTGTTTGAATTGCATGAACAATGTGATTATGATATAAATGATCAAAGTAGCTTAGGATGCTCCCTGGGTCTCATCTTGACATAGACGTTAGGTGGCATGAGCTCCTTTAACATGTTTCACCATAAGGTGATAAAATTGTAAAATGCTAGGTCGATGCATGCTCATCTCCTACGAGTAGCTTTATATTACTCACCCCTACGATACTGGGGCATATTTCAAGTACAGGACTCAGGATTTGAAGATTCCATTGCTCCTTGGAAAGCTTACAGTTTCTAAGTTTCTATTTTATGCAAGTGTTAGCATAAGATGCCTCTTTGTAGCCCTATTTGTTTAAACTTGTATTCGTTGATTCGTATATGTAAAGTGTACGTAAGTGCACTCTTTTCAATGTATTTAACATGTATGAGATAAGGCCGGAGGCCAATGACATGTATTTCGTTTTCTATGCACTTTTGTTTTCAAAGTTTATTATGAAAATATTGGAAAATGTTAAGTCATTGCTTCATAACTTTCGCATCGGGTGTTGGAATTTCATATCTTTTCTGCCCGAACTCAGAATCAGACGATTCTTGAGTCTAATTTTGTTCATTTTTCGTTGTCCTTCCAATGGTGTGCACGGTGGCACCCTTTTCAGTGAGAAATGACCATTTTGCCCTTAGTTCATCTCTTTTCGGGTTAGGCATTCTTGCTTCATTGCTTGGCTCATTTAAGTTCCATGGCTTCATGGAGAGTCATTTTGGGGCCTTAGGGATGACGTACATTTCTTGAGGTCATTTGGCTTCTTTTGCTTCCGCATTTCGGGTCCGTTATCAGGTCAACTTTCGGTTCATCACTAACACACCGGATTGAGAAATCCGGGTCATTACAGAACATCTTTAATCCGACCCCAAACTCTTTTGACAAGCATGAAGAGGTCAACGTTGCTGAGAAAATTGTTGAAAAAGTGGTTGAAAGTCCACCAATTGTTGAGTCACCAAAGTCAAGTGTACTCCTCTCTAATGATTCTTCCCAAGATTCTACTTTAAAATCCAAGTTTGGAAAGGTATGAAAGCCTAAAAGTTCATCTTTGGGTGTCGATAGAAGTCCACCCCACACCATTGATTTAAATCTAACAAATTTCTTAGGGAATAGTTTGTTGGGTGGGATTCGAAGTGCCTTGCATCCCATTGGAAGGGGATGTCAAATAAGATTTTTGATCTGGGCTAAGTAGGCTCATGTCTTGGTAGAGACGTTAAACACTAACATTTGTAGGGTTTTTAAATCATATTCCTCCCTCCTTTCTTCTTTTGTTATCTTTTGCATTGTCTAGATAAGTTTCAAAGTGCTTCATTCGAGTTTCCGGGCATTTTTCAGCATTTGCTGCACTTTATGTGTCATTGACGATCGATTGCAGAACCCTGACAAACGATCGCCATCTGTAGAGTTCATTTTTGCCTGAAAATCATCTCTCGGTATCTATCCTTCGTGAGTGCTCACGACTGATCGTTGACCTTGGCGATCAATCGCCCTTGTGCTTCAAAATTTTTAATCTTCCAGAGTATCGTTTGTCAACTTGACAATTGATTGCCAACATTAGCGATCGATCGCACTTGCTCTTTTCATCCTTTGTAAATGTTCACGATCGATCGCTAAGGTTAAGCGATCGATTGCTCTGGAATCGAAAATTCCTTATTCAAAAATCAATTCTTGGGTCATAATGGGTCGTGCCTAATCAGCGATCGATTGCCACCCCACGATCAATCGAACAGTGACTGATCAAATTTTAAATTCGGGCCCCACTTTTTGCTTTGGTCGTTCATTTCCCAAACACTATTTTTTATTTATTTTTCTCTCTCCTCTCTCTTCCCTTACTATACGTTTGGTGTGCAGGAATGGAATGGAATGGAATGCTTATTCCAAGCATTCATTTGTTTGGTGTGCATGAATGGAATGGAATAGCCATTCCATTGGAATGAAAATCCATTCCATTACTAAACCTATGGAATGGCCATTCCATTCAATAGTAAGATTAAATATTTTTATAATATTCCTAATAAGCCCTTCATCACATTCCAATAAGGCAAAAATCTTTCGTATAGACAAAAAAATATTTCACATTCCATTTTTCAACTTCTTTATTAGACGTGGTAAATGTCTTTTGACTTCCATCTCTTCTGAATATACCCAGGCTACCATTGACAAAAAGTTACAGGATCTTCAACCAAATTGCAAGTATTAGTCTCTTTATCTAATAAGTATATCACTTTTTTTTTTTTTTTTTTTTTTTTTTTCGTATCTTTGTGTTGAAACGTTTGTGTGATTTCTCCATCTTTCTCTCTTTGAATATTTATATATGGAGCAATGATAATATAAAATAAAAATTAATAATCATCTGGAGTCAAAAATAAAATTTTATTTTATTTTAAGGTTTTTCTTTATTTTTTTCAATGGCAGTATTAGACATCTTATAATATTCCATAATTTATAATATTAATTAGATTTTTATTAAAAAGTAATGAAAGCCATTGAAAAGGGTATTTTTGACAAAAAATCATTCCATTCGAGATTTAATAATGGTCAACCAAACAATATAATGGTAATAATCATTCTATTCCATAACGATTCACCTCGTCACACCAAACAATGGAATAATGTTCTCATTCCATTCCATTCTTATTCTCATTTCATTCCATTATTGCAAACCAAAAGTAGCCTTAGTTCTTTCGTTCTTTTCTTCCTTTTTTTCTTTCTTCCTCCTTCACTTTCTCTTTCAACACCTCCGGTTTCTCTCTCAATCTCAAGTTCTCAATCTCCCTCACCGAAAACACACTTCTCCCTCACCCAAATCAATCCCCAGCACCATACCCCTATCACCTCACACCCAACCACCCTCATCTCTCAATTCTCACCACCGAGAAGCCCCCCGCCATCGCCGTCTCTTTGTTCCGGTGAAACTCCAAGCTTCGCCGCTGCCATCATCACCAGCAGCGAGCTCTAAGCCAAAGGCCGAGCTCTCTTCTTCTCCTCTCGGTTCATCCCTCTCTTCTTGGAGTTCTCTATTTCCCTCATCTCCAGCTAATTTAGGCCAAGGAGATTCGGATCCACCACCGGCGACATTCCGGCGAGTTTCCAGTCACCTTTTCCGGCCATGGTTTCACCGAAAATTCTTGGAAATCTCCCAAGCTCTTTGCCATTTCTCTCTCTCTCACTTGGGTATGTGAGTTTTCCTAATTTTGTTTTTCATTTTTATTTTATTGTATATTTCATATATGTATATATTTGCATCTTTTGTGATTAATAAAAACTAAAAAATTAAAAAATTAAAAAGTTGAAAAACCAAAAAAAAATTGAAATTAAAAATTGAAAAAAAAAAAAAAAAACACTTGGACTAAAATTGAGAAATGGACTGTGGGACTTAAAATGGACTGTGATTTGTTGATGATGGAGGTTGGACATAATTTGAATGGATTGTTTTTTGTTTGTTGTTGAGGACTATGGGCTTTTGTGAATTAGATTTGTTTGGGCAATGTTGTTAGTTTGTCTGTTGATAGAGGATGGGACTTAAATGAAGTGGATTTGTTGTTATGATTCTTGAAAATGGACTGTGACTTGATAATATATACATGTATGCATCTTTGTTGAACTTATGTGACCTATAATGGAAACTAAATGCATGTATACAATTTTTGGGAAAGTTTTGCCATATAGTTATGCCATTTTAAGATATTGAATGTAATATGATATTTGTACAAATGAGTTAATAAAATGTGCATATGTGTTGTGAAGTTTAGAAATTGAGAAAAAGATTTAACACTTGTGTTGTGGTTTTAAAATCTTAAATGGAAGTTTGTTGGAAAGAATTGGATTGTTGTGTTTTAAAGCATGAAATTGAATTTTGAAAGGTTAAATTGTGATGTTATTGTTTAGAGAGAAACTCTATGAAGCATGAATGAAAAATGGAAAGTAGACTTGTATATTGTTATTTGAAGTTCACTTTTTGAAGCATGATTGTTTAACATGAAAATTGGGATTGTTGGAAAGTTGTGATTGAATTGAATGAGATTGTTTAGGAAAAGAAAAATGTAGAAGCTTTGAACTTGAAAAACTCTTGGAATTGTTTGATGTGACCCCTTTGAATTGACAATTTGCTAGCATGCTCCCTAACTTAATTTCATTTGTTAAACCTAAATGTGGAATTGTGACAGCCCTGGTTTTTAGGCAAGTGCGTCCTAAGATGAATGGAACGTAAATCCAATGATGAATCTCGAATGTACTAGCAAAAGGTATAATAATGGTTTTAAGAGATATTACACATTCATAGAACACCAATGTGACCCTCAAAGAAGTCACGAAACCCAAAGAAAACAAATGCGGAAACGACGTCTTAAAAATAAACAAGAATGAACCTAGGGGAAAAATGGTCATTTCATAGATAAATGGATGCTACCAAGCATACCATTAGAAAGAAAATGAAAAATTAATGAATTTAGACTCAAGAATCACCTGATTCGGAGTTCGGACGGAAAAGATATGAATTTAGAACGAAGTGGCATCCCCCGTTTAAAAGATAACACGACCCTATCTTACCAAAACTGCTATAACTCTCTCTACGGTTGGATTTTTTAAGTAAATTTAGTATCATTGGAAAGCTGACTTTAAGATCTTGAGTTTAGGCTTAATAATGACCTGATTTGGATTAGAAATGAAAGAGTTATGGCCCTCTGAAGTTGACCCAAGAAATCTGTCCAAGATGCTGAAAGTAAACCAAGCTTCAGGGAGGATCAGCCGGCTGAACCCCATCATCAGCCAATCGAAACTCAATGATCAGCTGGCCGAACCCAATCATCAGCTGGCTGAAACTCCAATTTTCACAAAAATGGCTACTGGAATGATGCGAGACAATCATCAGCCGACTAATGGGCATAACAGCAACATAAAAAGCTGCTGAAACCTACTGTGATCCATGGGAAAGATGCTTGGCTTGGTTCTAAGGCTAAGCATGCTTCCTAAATGATCCAAACAAGTCTCAAAACACTTCCTAGTCTCATGAAAGCATCTAAAACATGCTAAATCAAAATGAAGCTTTGAATGCTACCTTAATGCATGCATTTTTGCTTAAATTTGCATAATTCATCCATTAATAGTTCAAAAGTTAGAGTTTAAAAGTTTTGTGAAATTTAAACATGCACGCATATGAATATAGGCCATAATTGCAAATCATGAAATATAGTAATTTACCTACAAGTAATTATAAGTGCCACACACAAGATTTTCATGCTAAGCTTTCATTGAAATCTATATTACTTAACATCATAAGTGTACTCTTAAGATATCCATAATAAAACCTCAATGATATCATAAATATTACACAATTTATTAGACAATAACCTACTTATACAATTTAATAGTCACATACATGCTTTAATCCACAAATCCTAAGTCAAGTATATAAAATCTTTATTTACATGCTAGTACCAGAATTTAAAAAGGCATGTAATCAATATATATTAAGCTCCAATATATATAAAACCCAAAGAGGATAAACATACAACCACCTCTACCTCAATAGAGAATTGAATCTCTATAATCCAAAGCAACCAAGCTTAAAATGACAAACCAAAGTAGGGTTTTGTAGAGGAGAGCGAGAGAAAGATAATGTATTCCAAGCTTAATGGTCTAACAGAGTCAAGAAGTGCACTTAAGTGCACACTACATAGTTTGAACATTAGATACATGTTTTGTCAAAATAAACAAAAATAGAGCATGATATGCTAACAAGTGCATATCCTAACATAACAAAAATGCTCCAAGTAGACTAGCAATCCTAAGAGTGTTGTGCATCCCACAACAAAGCTTCTTTACCTGAAAAACAACCCAAACAACTAGGGTGAGTAATCAAGTTACTCGTAGGATGTGGTGCATGCGCATACCCTATAGTTTCAAGTACAATATAACCTACTTATACAATTTAATAGTCACATACATGCTTTAATCCACAAATCTTAAGTCAAGTATATAAAATCTTTATTTACATGCTAGTACCAGAATTTAAAAAGGCATGTAATCAATATATATTAAGCTCCAATATATATAAAACCCAAAGAGGATAAACATACAACCACCTCTACCTCAATAGAGAATTGAATCTCTATAATCCAAAGCAACCAAGTTTAAATTAACAAACCAAAGTAGGGTTTTGTAGAGGAGAGCGAGAAGAAGATAATGTATTCCAAGCTTAATGGTCTAAGGTGAGTGGAAGGAGGCCAAAATGAAGAAGAAAGCTATTAACCAAGCTTTTCTCCAATGGTGGCTCAAGTTAGGGTTCTTGAGAGGAAAGAGCAAAAATGAAACAAAGGTGTAAACTCTAAGTTAAATGGTGGGATTCTCCACTCACTAGGTACTCTTGCACTACCTCACACACACACACAATTGCAAGACCAATTGTGAAGCCTACACTTGTCACCATCTTATGTAAACTTCCAAGACTTAACATCGAGCCTACACTTGTCAACCATCCATGCAACCAAGTGCTCCAATCCTAGGCCAACAAATGGGTAAATCTCCACCCTTCATGTGTCATAAGATTAAGCCCCTAAGTGGTTCCACCACAAAACCAACAAGTGGCACCTTAGGAATGTGACACTTGTCACATTTTTTAGAAATTGCAAAAAGGTTCTTTTTGAAAATATCTTCTAAATTAAATTACAAAATAGTCCCTAAGATGAAAAATAATTACTTTATTTAATTACACAAAAAACCCCTCAAGTTTAGAGTAATGATGAGCGCTGAAAAGTACATATTTAAACCTCTTAAGCTTAGGTATTCTAGGACCTTTACCTATCTTATTTTACCATTTTGTATTGATTTCGTGCTATTTTCATTTTCAGGTACTTATCCTTAAAATAAGCTAACTCCGCCAAATAAGAGTATAATTGAAGTAATTCTGGGATGAATCAAAGAAAGGAGCAAAGTAGAGCAAAAGGAAGCAAATGGTGGAATTTCAGCAACTTCGATCGATCTCAAGAAAAGTTCGATCGATCCAACATTCATCGATCTCAGCACTTCAAGATAGATCTGAGCCATGTTTGTCCCTGTTCAAAGATCTCAAAAGTTCGATCGATCCAACTTCCTTCTTCGATCGATCAAACATTCTTGTCCTTATCCAAATGATTGATTTTATCCAATTGTACCACCCTACCAACTGCTTTTGTCCTTTTCCCAAAAATATCTTCAAAATATCTTAGATTTATTTTTATCCAAAAAGGCGCCGCCATTGAAGATCGATCCAGCTTCAGTTCGATAGATCTCAACCATGTTCGATCGATCCAAGTCCAAGGTTCGATCGATCGAACTTCCTCTAGTGCGAAAAAGTTAAATTTCTAGCTCACAAAAAGTTTTCCTTTATCCAATCATTGGGGAATATTTGTTGTATGACCCCATCTCATTTTGGGTGTCATTTGACCTACCTATATAAGGATAAGGATTACTTTTTGTATAAGAATATATTGCATCACATCATATCATACGATACCTTAGAGAACTCTTAGTGAGGAAGAAAAGAAGAGAAGGAGGCTAGAGACACCATTGGAGACTCTTCATCAACCAAGGAGCAGATTTCTTCCATGGAGCTTGCCCTTGAGGGTTGGAGGACATCATCCATGAGTGGCTAAACATCCTCTTGGGGCTAGAGTTAGCCCTAAACATGCTTTCTACTTCTTGATTTATATATTTTTGAGGGTATTTGTATTGTAATTCATGTCTTGACACTTATATATATATAGATCTTGTTTATTCAATAGTTTATATGGTTTAATGCTTCCAATTGATCATTTCATTCTATCCATATGTCTATGTATGCTAGAATAGATGTTCATGTGTTTGTCTTTATTTCTTGTGTTATTGATACGTGTCTATGTGTGTTAATGCTATAGATCTAGAGATTGTCAAGACATAGTACTTAATGTCATGTTCTTGTGGTTTATTTGATAGTTCATACTTATTGCTTGATGGATTGTGCCTCTCCCTTAGTTTAATTAGCTTAATTTCATGTCATTAGCTTAGTTGTAGTGTAGTTGTTAAATGGGAGGATAATCCATGCTTGTTGTTGATGTTCCATACTTATGAAAAGCAAGTAACATGTATCTCTAACCTTGTGATGTGTTTGGATTGTGAGCTTAAAGAAAGGATTAATGGCTTAATTTGATATGTTATGCAATCCACCATGTTGTTTAGACAATATATGCTTAATTTTCTATCCATGCTTGTTGAAACAACCACACACACACACTTTATTGCAATACATGTTCTCCCCAGCATTAATCATTCATTAAAGGTGTAGAAAAGCTATGCTTAGTGGTGATCTCTAAACCCCAAGATCTCTCTCTCTCTTTTATTCTCTCTATTGCATTATTGCTTACTTTAGTTCGATTTGCGTCTAGTATAATTCAACCAACCAACCACTATTTTAATCACTCGGCCTACTAACCCTAATTTTGATTCCTCAACCTAGTTCGACACTCAATCCCTTGAGACGATCCCTACTCACCCTAGCTATATTTTTAGTGAAAGGTAGTAGTGGCAATTTATAAATGTAAAACTTGGCCACATAAGCACAAACTTTGGATTTGAATTGACGACACACCAAGTTTTTTGGCGTCGTTGCCAAGGATTGATTGACTGGCAACGTCGTATTTGTGGAATCAATTAGGAATTAGTACTCTTTTGATTGTGTCTTTACTTTGTTTTCAATTTTTGTTACTTATTGCGTTTGTTCTTGATTGACAAGGGGCATTGAGCTAGGAAGCAAGCAAAGGATATTCCAAGCAAAGGAGCTAAGCACGCAAGGAAAAATGCTAAAAATCTAAAAGTTGCTAAGCTAAACTAAAAATTTGGAGTTGAAGTGCTAAAGAACCTTTGTGAGCTTTCTTTACTCATCCCTTAGTTAAATCGTCAGCCCGCGTGGAGGCTAGTATTTTTAATTTTTAGATAAATCGTGAGCCCGCGTGAAGGCAATTTACTTTTCTTGCTTTTTGTTAAAGCATGGGAGTATGAGAACATTGAATGTGGATGAAGTTTGCTGATTGTTGACTTGTTGTGAAGGTGAAGTGTTTATTGTTTGTTGTGTTACATTGTGCATGGATGGTCGTAGATCATTGAGACCTACTCTTTTCCCTTTAAATTTCATCTTGAATCGATTATTTAACCCTAGGGGAAGAGGTAGTTCTAGTCAATCTATTGCATCAATGGAAGGACACAATGAGGACCATGTGGAGGACCTCGGTTACATAGACCAACAAGGTATCCTCCATCCCAATGTGCATTATGATAACATGTAAGTTCCATTAGGCATGCCAAGACCATATGTTCATCCACCACAACAACAAGGCCAAGTTCCATTGGGAATGCCAAGGCCAATCTATGCTCCACCATCTCCCATCATTCAAGGCAACCAAGGTGCCCATGTTGCACCTCCAATTGCTAATCCTTTCCTTGTTTTAAGAGATCACTATGTGCCTAATGAATATAATGCACCCACATGCATTCAATTGCCACCATTTAGAGCACACCACTATGAAATCAAGCCACAATCCATTCAAATGCTTCCTAATTGTCATGGACTTCGAAGTGAAGAACCTTGCAAACATTTGGATGGGTTTCTTGAAGTTTGTTCCACCATAAAATATACGGACATGCCGGAAGAGGTCTTAAGGGTTAAACTTTTTCCATTCACTCTTAAAGACAAGACAAAATATTGGTTTAATAATCTTAGGCCTTTTTCAATAACTTTTTGGGCAGTGCAACAAAAGTTCTTGAAAAAGTACTATCTAGTTTCTAAGACCAATGCCATGAGAACCTCAATTCGAGAATTTTCACATGGGGATGGAGAAACATTTCATGAGACATGGGAATGCTTTAATGAATTGCTTAAGAAGTGTCCACATCATGAAATGCCTAAATGGTAATTAGTTTAATATTTCTTTGAGAGCTTATCGGATAATTGCAAAGGCATGGTTGATGTTTCCATGGGTGGCTCTTACATTGATAGGCATGAGTATGACGTGTGGCGTCTTTATGAGAGAATGAGTGAAAATTCTTTGCATCGTACTTTATCTTCAAAGAATGGTAGAAATTCTAGTGGTAGGAAAAGTGTTGGCTTACATCAAGTTGACCACTCCAATGAAATTGCCGCCGAAATGAAATCATTATCTCAAAGGTTTGATCAATTTTTGATCAACCAAAACTCGGTGAATCAAGTATCTTCCTTCCCTAACCATTCTCATCATGTATCTAATGAGACATGTATGACTTGTTCAATTGTTTTACATTCTACTTTCAATTGTCCCCATGGACATTTCCAAAGTAAGCATCATGAACAAGCAAATGCTGTTTTTACTAATCAAGGGAACAATCCTTATGGAAATCATTATAATCCTAGTTGGAGGAATCACCCGAATTTCTCTTAGAAAAACCAAGGGAAGGGCTCAAACCTTTCCCAAGGCGGTTTTCAAGGAAAGTACATTCCACCTTCAATGCAAAGCTAAGGTTCCCAAGGTTTTAGATCATCATATCAATCACAAGGAAACCAATTTTCAAATTCTCATTTTCTTAATCAACCATCATATTCCCAAGGAAATGTTAGAAGTCCCGCTTTTGAAGAAAAAGTTTTGACCGCTTTGGGCACTTTAGAGGTAAACACACAATTACATCATTCTCACTCTCAATCCATTGCAAAGCTAGAAACCCAAGTAGGGCAAATAGCTAGTACTTTGAACGCAAGAGAGAAGGGAAAAATGTCTTTGAATGCCCCACAAAAGCAACAATGTGTTATGGAGACTCATTCTTCATCGGAAGGTCACACAATAGAGCATGTCAATGAGGTGACTACCTTGAGAAGTGGAAAGATTGTGGATAACCAAGTGGGTATGTCCAATGAAGAGAGTGAACCGGTGCAACCACAAGTTGACGCCCGTCCCGTTTCATATCATATTCCTCCTTCATTGCATGTGCATGACCATATAAATGAGAATGTGTTAAAAAGTGATTTGCAAAGTGATTTTGAAAAGAAAGATGTGCAAAATGATTTGAAAACTTCTTGTGTTGAAGAGACTTAAAAGAAAAAATTCTGAAAAGGTTTTTGAACCAAAAGCTCAATTTCTGGATGCCTTAAAAGGATCCCTTTCAAATGATAAACAAAAGGCCAAAATTAATGAAATCATGGACGTGTTTAGGCAAGTGAAATTCAATCTTCTACTTTTGGATGCAATCAAGCGAATTCCAGCTTATGCCAAATTCTTGAAAGACTTGTGCACCTAAAAGCGGAAGAACAAAAGCCAAGCACCTAGAAAAGTGGTCTTAACCGAGCAAGTGAGCTCAATTTTTTAGCATAACACTCTCCCCAAGTTTAAGGACCTCGGTTCACCTACTACTTCATGCATCATTGGTGATCATATCATTAATCGGGCTCTTCTTGACCTAGGAGCTAGTGCTAATCTTCTTCCATACTCGGTATATGTCAAATTAGGCTTAGGAGACTTGAAACCAACGTCGGTAGTTTTACAACTTGCCGACCGATTAATCAAAAAGCCTAGGGGTATCATTGAGGATGTCTTGATTAAAATTGATAAATTCTTCTTTCCCGTTGATTTCGTTGTCATTGACACGGAATCGGTCCCAATTCCTAAGAGCCAAATTCCTGTTATCCTTGGCCGTCCTTTCTTGGCAACCGCGAATGCCAACATCAATTGTAAGATGGGGATAATGAAGATATCATTTGGCCACATGAAGGTAAAGTTGAATATTTTTAATCCAACCCCCAATTGATTTGACAAACATGAAGAGATTAATGTTGTAAAAAAATGTCATGACCTTAAAAGTGAAGGAATTGACCTTTTGTGTGAGACCAAGGTTTCAAAAAGTCCATCTTCAACCTTCAAACCGAAGAAAGTTATTTCAAAATCTTGTTTTGAAAGGGCGTGGAAGCCCAAAGATTGCATTGACCAAGGACCGAAAATGTCTTTTGAGCTTAATGCAACAAGTTCCTTAAAGAACCATTTGTTGGGTGGAGTTCAAAGCATTTATCACCCCATTGAGGAGGGGATGCACTACAAGATGTTTGATCCGGGCTAAAAGAGCCCAACGTCTTACTAGAGATGTTAAAGAGTAGCACGACATATCGTAGGGTGTCAAAACCCTATTCCTCTCTCATTTCTATCTTTATTTTCATTTCTTGCGAGGTCTAGATACTTGTTTTTGGTGCATATGCATTGCTTGGAACTGTGATTAGGATTACTTGCACTTTTGTGTGGAAACTAAGCATTTTGCACAAGTTCGATCGATCTCTAATTCGAGTTCGATCGATTGAACTTCGACCTGCATCCAACACTTAGAAAATTTTTGACCTGCACCCACTTGCATCCAAATCACCTTTTTGTCCCATCGTTCGAACTTATTCTCAGATCGATCATAACTTTTTCGATCGATCCAAACTTCAAGTTTGATCGATCCTAAGTTCCAACACTTAGAAAAAATTTTGAATCCAAAACCTGCATATTTTTGCTCTCTGTCAGATCGATCGAACATTTTGTTCTTATCGATCTCTGTTTTTCATCTCATTGCTTTGACTTTGTTTTGACTTTTTAATTTTTAAAATTCCAAAAATATTTTTATTTTATTTTATTTCCAAAAATCCCAAAAAGATTTTATTTTATTTTAATTCTTCAAAAATCCAAAAAACTTTTATTTTCAATTCTTAATTTTTAATTTTTAATTTTAAAATATATATATATATATATATATT